GAACGGTGGTGTGCATTTGTTCCTGAAGTGGAGGTCTGACAAGCTAGCGACTTGAGAAAACTGAGAGGATTGAAAGCGGGTCACTCAGGTTGTGTATTTTTTGTTTTCGCTCTGCTATGTATTGGGGGAACGCTCACGTGTAACAATCTCTCGCCTTGGAGGTGAGATAAGACGTCTTTCCCTTCCTCTTTTCAGCCAGGAAGTACGGATTACTTTTCGCAGTGGTGGATGCCATACTTGACCGCATACCACCGAAGGAATTCTGGACGCTCGATTGGCCGTGACCATTTTCTGTCCTGTGCAAACTGAGCTGAAAGTTGCTAAGGTCACCGCGACCGCGGTCACATGCGTGCGAAAACAAAGAATAAATTCAAAAGAGTAATTGTGCTTAATTTAGCGCAAAATTCAATTCATTTTCAGGTCAGGTCAGGCGTGCGGAAAGTGAAAGCAAACACGTGTTGACCAAAGAGGTGGCCTTGGTGTGATAAAACAATGAGATGCACAGGAGGAAAGGTACATTTAGAACGGGATGTGAATGGTTACTACACTCAGGAGTGTGCATCCACCTCTTCAATTGATCACTTTCTCCGTCTATCTGCAAACTGAGAGAAAAAGAAACCTTACTTCCCGCCGTGTCCCCGAGAGACTTTTAATGTGAAAGCGTTCTATATTGCACAAAACAAAAAATGAACCTAACATTTGCATCCTGTTCAGTACTCCTCGTTTGAGAACAGTTCTAGCTACCTCCTATCCAAAGCGATTTTGAAGGCGTTCAGATCAGTTCAGGGAGCCAATCCAATCCTATGGAATCTAAATTTCCAGGACGCAGATTCCTCGGCCTCACGGTTGTCCTGATTCTGGCTCGACTTCGTCGGTAGACCGATCGAGCTGTATGTTTGTTTGGCTTACAGCACGGTTGATAGTTCGACGACCGTCGGGGGATGTGAGATTTGGATGTAGTAGTTGTCGCACTTGTTTTCCGCAAGACTGAAAAATAGAGGAACCAAACTGTCTTCTCGCCGTGTCGGTGAGAGACTTACATACGCTTAAGTGTAAGCGTTCCTTCGTGTGCATGTTGTTCATGCGCACCACGTTATGTCAAACGTGGGGGTGGGAAGAAGAAAAGAAAGAGTTTATTAATCTTATGTTTTAGGTCATTTCTGGAAAACCCTCTGTCAATACTCTATCTGATTCCCTCTTAAAGGTTTGCACTGTGTTCAGTTGAACGAATCTTTCAAGAAGGCGATTCCAGAAATTGACCACCCTGTTGGTGAAGAAATGTTTTCTCACACCCAACCTGCTTCTATTCTTTTCTAGGTGATATTCGTGGTCCCTTAGTGCTCTCGTGGATCTCAAAGGTAGGAGACCCAGATCGGAATTCTTCGTTTGTCTGAAGACTTCGATCAGGTCTCCTCTTAGACGTCTCCTACGCATAAAGAAGAAGTTCAGGTGCCGAAGACGGTCCTCTTAGGATGGCCCTTTGGTGTTACGAACCATTCTGATGGCTAACCGTTGCACTTTTTCTAATCTGTCTACGTCCATTACTCGGCAGGGAGCCCAAGCTTGGACGCAGTATTCTAGGTGGGGTCTGACGAGTGCCCTATATAGAGGAATGAATACATCGGCTTCTCTGCTGGGCATTGCAGCTCTGCGTGCAAACACTGCTCTCCTGGACTTGTAAGCTGCTTCGGCTCATTGTTCCCAGTTGACTTAATAATATTAATAATTAGATGTATATTTCACGAAGCCCGTGACGCATGCACAAAGCATGAACATATGTTCAAATAATCATATAGGTAGACCTCATTGACAGTCGCTCCAGAGAAACTTTTTTATTGCGTTGTCTATTTTTCATACGTCTCATGATTGCCCATTTGGATAAAACAGCAGAACGATGAATGAAATGTTGCGAGTAGAGTTGAAGAGAAAATGGAGAATTCACAGAAGTTTGTGGTTATTGTTTAGGTGAACTTTATTATTATTGTATTTCACACTTGTCTAAATCCAGATTGTGTGCCAAACAAATCATGGTACAATAATCTTTATGAAAAGAGAAAATGTTCCATGATTGGCTTGTGGGCTGAATACTGCCAGGTTTCCCAGGCCAAGGCAGGTGAATTTATTGAGGAATCCACAACCGGAGTCTTCGGCTAGCCAAAGCCTGACCCGCAAGGCAGCAGGGCAGTGTGTGAAATCCGCAATCCGTTGGGCCGGCCGGTGTCCAGTTCATCGGATCATACGCCCTTCGGACGGGGTCAGACGTCCAACGTACCCAATACACCTCAATGCCCAATCGAGCCGGTGACCACTACCACAACCGAAAAGGTGTAGGCGTGGTTCGTACGCCTCCTCATGGTTGGTTTGGAATCAGGGTTTTTGGCCAACTCCCCTAGGTGAACTGCCAGTGGTCCATCAACCCGGCTATCGACTTTTCTCCCTCTCACTTTGGTGAGAAAACACCGCCGCTAGAAGGCAGTGAGTAGGGCTACCTCAGCAGAGGCTATTTGAGACACTTGGTCGTATGGGAGCATTTCGTGAGGTGCAAGGGCAGGGTGACCAGCTCTAGGTACCCACCCCGTCCATACTGAGGCTTTTGGAGATGAACGTTACAGACGGAACAATCCATTCATTGATTCATTTAATCAAAGTACTGTGGATAACGAGAATTTTCACAATGGCTTGGGTTCAGAGCGTCCATATAGTCTTTAAAACAATGACCTGATACAAGGGAACAAAGACGGCTGGATAGATTTGATCAACATCATTTTTGAATTGGTTAGCACTTCATTAGAAGGTTCCGGGGTTCAGCTGGTGGATGGACCGCTTGACCAGTGTATCCGTAATACAAATTTTACACCCGTGTCTGTGCACCACTAGTAAACTCTGTCGAGGATCGAAAGTCGCTTCTTATGCGCTCTGAGTTAGCTAAATTGGGTTTTATGCGTGACGATGTAATCTGGATGATGGTTAATTATAACCAAGATTAGTTCTCATTGCATATCATCACTCACATGGGAACATGACNCAGCGTGTAAAATAAATACTGCACGGATATAATTTCAGCTATTCATTCTATTTCTACAGATGGTCCATTTCACCTCTCAAGCAGTAAAGTCCTTTTGTACGAAACTTTATGAAAAGGTTTTGGAATCCCAGAGAGGTTTGTTTTGGTTTCTATCTGTCACCCTGTTACCCACATGTTCTATTAAGAACACTACGAGAATGTTTTTATCTCTCCGGTGAGTATTTATGCTGCGATGGCCATGGTTCTCGCCGGAAGTGAAGGCGAAACCAAGCGAGAAATTCTCTCAGCACTACAACTACCCACTGACATTGGAAATGACGGAGTCCACAACGCAATCGGAAGTTTTGTCTCTGGTTGTTTTCAGTCCACACCCGGTGTGACAGTATCTGTTGGAAACCGAGGTTTTGCAAAACACGATGTAATTATCGTCCCACAATACCAAGAGATGTTGAGCAAGAATTATGGGGCAGTTTTGGAGAATGTAAGTAATATTTGTTCTCTCAATAGTATACTGTTTTAATGTTAGGTTGACTTCCTTGGTCATACGGAGTCTGTACGGAAGCACATTAATGATTGGGTTAGCAATGAAACCAGAGGAAAGGTCCAGAATTTGTTTGCTCCGGGCAGCTTGGATCCAGACACTTGTTTGGTACTCACCAATGCTCTATATTTTAAGGGTAACTGGCTACTTCTTTGATTATATCTCATACCTTAAGGTGCTTGGGAGAATGAATTTGTCAAGGAATTAACAAGAAAGGCAGAATTTTGTCTCCTGAATGGACGGAAGAAACAAATACAAATGATGTATCAAAAGGAGCGTTTGCAGTTTGCAATCTTCCCTGATTTAGATGCATCGGCCATTAAGATACCGTTTCGGCAGTCGAAGTAAGTAATGCATGATGTGTTTATTAATGCCGTCTTTTCGTCAATGCTGAAGTTGTATTTTCAATTCTACTAGTTGAAATGTCAGAATGCCAAATTCGAAAAATGTCTACCAAGGAATAGTTTTTGTTTGGAAAAATGTCTGTTTTGGTGCGGTCTAAATACTTTTTGACAAACTTCAATGTGACGAGCAGTAGACAATGTAAACTCATGAGGTTCTCCTGTTTCAGTTATGAGGATTGGCAACTTGAAATGAGGTTTGGATTAGGTTCAGATTGTTAACGAGCTGTACCACAATAAAGCCGTTGAGTTGAGTGGTAGTAGTTGAATTTGAATTATGAACAAAAGAGGTAATTGCCTCGCAGTAAAGAAGACTAGATATTGTAACCATGCTTTGCGTATTGTTTATCTCACACCCCATGGAATTTAAAACGATAAGATTTTTTATATCTACATCCTGAACGTTTGGGATATTATGCGAATAAAACGGACCCCATTGCCAGTATCGCTGTATCAAAGGAAATAACAAAACCGGTAAAGAGATTTACCTATTTGGGTAGGCAAATTTCTTTCGGTTGATGAATTTCGGATGAAAGGTCAGAACTCAGACGAAGGCTGGTTTTGCTTTTGTCAATCTAATTGCATCCTAGTATCCACCTTTACGGTCTAGTGTGCGTTAAAATGTCCCAAACGATCCTGTTTTATTGTGCAGAAATATTGAAGTTGCATATAGAAAATAAATGAGTGTTGAATGCGATTGCATAATACTGTCCTCCATGTTCAACATCCATTTTGTTAGTACCGGGCCATATTTTAATCTGGCTGTTTCACATCACAGAATGTGAGCAAACCACCTCAGATGGCTGCATTGTGTAAATACTGGCATTCGTCAGTTGTTGAGGCAGCATCCCTACACGTCTTCGTTCGATATCTGGTTTGTGTGTTATTTTTTGTTACTCAGAGCCACCAATGGTCTGTCGTTCCTGATCTTCTGAAATCCCCTTTTCAACAAGGGTTCACAGTCATATGTTATCACTGCATTGTGAAGTCAAAATTTGGTCCGAAGGCTCATTTCACTCTGTGTTCAAATAATCTCGAGAAGCATGAGGAATGTCATCCTTGCGTGATCGATGCAAACGAGAATATCATCTTTAGCCTAATTGATGGGTGGAATCATCCACCAGAGGTACTTGAGGAAATCGACGCGCTCGATTGCTTCATCATTGATTGTCGTTTGTTGAATGTGGACAGTTTGGGCGAAGGTCGCAAACGTCTTCGTCTTCCACTTATTTGCTTCTGGTCCAGTCGTCATTAACCGTTCAATCGAGCCTGGGAAGCCAGTTTTTTGAGTTATCACTAAAAGAACTTTATCGGTTGCATATTTAAGTTGGAGGTCCACACGTACGAGCTTAACGGAATACCGGCGTGGTCTTCTAATACTTACTTCATTATCCAGTCTATCGCATAGATGAACAACATTGGAAAGATAAGATACTAATCCTCGCCTTACACCCGAGTTTAGCGAGAGTTCAAGTGATTCTTCGTTGTGCCCTTGGATGCGAGCGCATGAGCCTGGATGGTAGCCTCCTTCGAAGTTCGTTATTTTTGGATCACAAAATATACCAATTGTTCTGTCAGAGAAGTTTGAAAGTGGTAAAAACAGATCTGTTTTTTCCGCACTTCTCATCAAGCCAATACAGTACACAATCGAACATGTATAGACACGACACAGCGTGATAATCCGTAGTGTAAGTACTCACAGTTGTTGTGATGATTGATATTGAGGACTGTGTCCGGATGGACCAGTCAAAGATGAGTCCAACCGATGTGTCTGTTTCAGGATCTTACTGGCCTTAGGCCAGGGCAGCAGTAGGGACTTGAAAAAATGTTTTTGCAAACACAGTATTGGTTGATTTAGTGGTCGCTTCGGCTGTGCCCAGAATTCTTTGTCTCACCCCTTTTGATCGGTTACATGCTGCAAGCTAAATGACCTTGAATGCCCCCTTACGTGTCAGTTCGTGACCCACGGGTCGAGTGCTTGGGCTAGGATGGCACTAGTCGCAATTTTATTCATTCCTTTTGATAGCCAAGCTAGACAGTGTTCTTGTATCCCCTCTGACAATCGTCTAGTGGTCCTTCCTACGTATTCCACTCCACAGGAGCACGAATAAGAGTGCGCACAAAATGACATAGACTAACTAGGCAACTTGTCTTTGAGTTGTAACTGCAGCATAGGCTTCGTAGTAAAGAAGAGAGAGTTTAGCAACGGCTAGCATATCCTCCTTGAAGTCGATTGTTGCATAAACCCTTTTCTTGGGGACTGTAGAGTAAAAGGACTATGAATCAGTCGCAGTGTCGCAGTGCCTTTTGATGAAGCTTTCTCAATAGCCGTTTTCCCTTAACGTGTTACCTAAGGTCCAAGGCCACTAAGATCTTTAAACAGACACATCGGTTGGACTCATCTTTGACTGGTCCATCCGGACACAGTCCTCAATATCAATCATCACAACAACTGTGTGAGTACTTACACTACGGATTATCACGCTGTGTCGTGTCTATACATGTTCGATTGTGTGTACCATATTGGTCTGATGAGAAGTACGAAAAAAGCAGATCTGTCTTAGCCACTTTCAGACTTCGTTATTTTTGTTGGGGTTCTGTCGTTCTTCATTATCGCCCACAGGGTTTGTCTATCGATTTAATCATGCCTATGGGCCGGCACACCCTCTTGCGCGACGAAATCTTTTGTAGTTGATGCAGATGCAGATCATGAATTACGAATAAAGAATCATGGACGCCGCGAAAACACTGAATCGCATGAGCACTAGCTCGTCTCACGTAACCACAGACCACAGAAGTAGCCGTTTGTTTGNNNAAGAAATCATGGGGATTAAATAACATGTACAAAAGAAGTTTGTTGGTTATCCAGGTATCCACCAATCGCGTGCTCTTATTCTTGACGTCATACAGCTTCTGTATGGACCACACGATTTCTGATTGGTCGACGCGATTCGCCTGGGTTCATTGTCCAGAAGCTGTAACGCGTGGGCGCTTGATTGGCATTATCTAGGAAGGCTGACTCACCACAGTTGTCTAGGAACTGCAACGCTTGCGTTATCCTGTAGGCTAGAGACACCACAAAACTATCCTATATAAGGCTGATTGATACTCCTATAGTTAGCGCTCACTTTTATCAACTTGGGAATTGGAAGAATGGTCAAAGCCCCCCAAGCAGCGATAAATACTATGCTATCCCATGTAGATCGGAATGGTGTGTGGAGAATATCCAGAAGAGTAGAGAGGCAAATTTTGTGGATATGAAAGTAGTCACAGTTAGAAAATGAGCAGGTATATCACGATTGAAACATCTTTGGCATNTTTGGCATCGAGGTGAAGTTTCACTAAAGTTGAAAGGTAGCTTATACTGGGCAACCGTTCCATCAGTTCTGCTTTACAGCTATGAACTCCAGAATTTAGGAACGAAAGACATTCGTCAATTATAGTTTTTCCATATTTGATGGTTAGATATTCTGAAGCCAGTGGCTGATTAACACAGAGGCAAGTCGTCGCATACTTGGATTAGTATACTTTGCTGACTACGATACGCACTGCGTATTCATAACCAGGGTTTTCTGTGCCGCGCCTTATTTGCGGTTACCACTCTCAGCTGAAGAAAATTATGCGGTGACGAGATATGGAGAAGTGCACAGAGAGATTAGGTAGTGCAAGTGTCTCTTGTCTTCCAGGTTACGGTCAAAAAGATTCCGTAATTGGTTCGTCGGGGAAATCGAACTTAATGGCAATACACCGACAGCAATGTTGTTCTTGTCATATTTATCAATTCAAAATGCTTGGGGAGCTGTGTGCACAGTTAGACTGTGTTGTACAAAGAGGTTCATCTTCATCGTTCTTCGGTCACAACAAGTCCACTTCCCATCCACCTTACGAAAACGTACTTAAGTGCGTTTTGCAGCAGTTAGTGAAATTCGTTTCACTGTATGTATGATGATGTTAGCTCTGTGTGATCCGTAGACGTTAAAGTAGATGTGGGTGATAGCTTGTAGCTGAGAGCGAGAAAAAAGATCATCACAGAACAGGTTGAATTCAACTGGTTCGCTTCAGCTTTGTAAAAGTTCGATCAGGACACTGAAAAATCTTTAAACATCAAAAACACTCGATTGTGCAAAATCAAAGGTCACCAGTCACACTCGGGTTGAACAGAGGGAAGCAGTGGGAGAACATACTTACGGATCGGAACCACGGTGGAAGCTCTACCATGGCAGGGTAAGGCTTACCACAAAGTCTAGTTGTTTTCAGAGGTCTGGTCTGTGACGTCAAATAACTACGGCCTCAGTTTTCTGTTAGCTTACTTCGGATCGATCCCAAATTTGCAATCCCATATATGGCATTCAATAGAGCTGGAGGGGATCTTCGAGCCGTTGAGCGCTAAATTTCTCGGGGAGTGTTCTGAGATCATAGTGGCCAAACGTCTCCCAGTTCTTCCGATATAATTACTACCGCAAGTGGATTGAAACAGGCAGATACACGAGGAGGTAACTTGAGAATTCAACTTGTCCAAGTTAGATTAAGCAATCATTGGTTTGGTTTTATGGAGAATAATTAGCGAAGCAGTGTTGTACGTTTTTGAAAGAGCTTGTTTCAATCGAGGTTGTGTTGGTTTCGCATTCTGATCATCTTAAAAGCGGAATGTGATGAGAACGTTCTTCTTTGGTGCGTCGTTTCTTCCAGCTTTATTCTCTGTGTTATTGCCATATTTGGTTAATGAGATTTCGCGGATATTCGTTATCCTGTAATGCACATGGTACCAGTTCTAGATCGCTTTAAAGTTTTTCTGCAGAACGAATGCTCTTTGCTTTAGAGAATAAGCCCTTTACTAGGGCTCACTTATATTGCATTGAACAAAGGCTTCTGAAGTTCAGATACTGTCGAGTTCAAGTTGGTTTTTGGAATGTAGAATTGATGAGGCTTTCATCTTTCCTTCTCGTGAGTTTAACATTCATGAATTGAAATGATGTCTCGGATTCATGTTGTACGGTAAACCTGATATTAGGGTGACGGCAGTTCAATTATTTTAGCGTGTCTTTCGCATAATTCTTCTCTTTGAAATCCACAAGCATATCGTCAAGATATGGAAAAAGGTCTCGCTTATTGCTTGACGATGTTTTGTTTCTTCTACACGTCCCATAAATAAATCAGCTAACCCTGGTCCTATTAAGTTTTCCATTGCCACACCGTCAACTTGACGATATAATCTATCATTGAAACAAAACTACACGTCTTTTGTACACAATGGCTGGAGTTTCCTCAGATGGTGAGGTGGTACGATGTAATTGCTGGCATGCAAACAAACAGTATCAAGAGGAACTTTAGTGAATAATGGACAGACGTCATACGATATCATGTATTTCTTGGAAACGTTTAACGTTCCAGTTTTGTCCGAAAGTTCGAATAAGTTCTCCCATATGTGTACACAGCTGAAAAGATAGAGCGAAACAGTTGAATTCAACCCGTTCTGATGATGATGCTTGTTCTCTCCTATAGAGGAAATATTTCAGAGGCCAAAAATTTATATTCAAGGAGCGCAATAGGTCACTGTACTCATCAGCCGTTTCCGTTGACCTGATTATAAAACTTGGTTGCAATGAACATAGGTGATAAACAGGAAATTCCCGCAATATAGGTGATCCTAAATTTATCCACATCACGAACGTTTTAGTCAAATCGATAGTCACCATTTGTGATGTTGCGGTGCTGTGCTTGTGTGTATGTTTAACTCGCAGTCAATGCAGCCAATGAAATGACATAGATCAAACAACGTGGTCAAGTAGTAAGGGTCATAAACTTATCGCCTGCCCGTTTCTTAAAATTACTTGTAAAACCCTGCATTCGGTTTCAAACTTTGCTTCCTATTCATAGCTTCAATACCGAAAGAAGATATGTCGAGAGTTGTTACCGTTTCATTTATTCGCCAATACGCTTTATATACACCATCGATTGGTGAAAATAAATGAACTGTTGAAGTCTCACGACAGTTTTACATTAAACAAAGAGAGATCAAAGAATATAATGAACGGCTTGCTGTTGGCTGTAGAATGTTTCCTCAACGTCAAACTCTGTTGCTAGTATGAAATTTCGACGGTATTTCGTTCCGTATGCAATTTTAAAGTTAGCACACAACAAACGCTTGCAGCCGCAAAATGGTCAAGCTCAAACCGACATGGATCACACGTGCACGTGCTGGGCTTGTGCAGCACATTATTGCATATTAATGATAGGTATGAAAGGCATTGATAA